AAAAAGTGTATCTCGAGCCGGTTTCTCAAACTTACCTACCCCACCTTTAATTTACACTTGCAAAACAAACAATACAATTTACAGTTACAAAACACAAAAAGAATACCCACATACCTGTGCAAAACAGAATATAATTAAAGCAGGAAATGGCTTCATCAGCTTTCTAACTTCCAACACCTTCAGTGGAAGAAAACACCCACATGTTAGGTTAGCATAGCTAAACTTTAGAAAGCTCACAAACACTGTTTGAAGTGCTGCACATTATATATACTACAGTTACACACGGAAAAATATAGACATTAACTGCAAACAAGTTTGGCTTGTGTGAAGTGTAACATTAAACAATCTATTAACATATCAAATACAACATTTATGACACCACTTGTTCCACTTACTTCTCCTCAGTGGGGCCTGAAGCTACTGAGGAAAGTAGCGCGAGTCTGCAGAAATGTGCCAGTGCCAAGAGTACCAAAATAAAACGTACTTTTCAAAATAAAAGCTCAGCACAGTTTTAGATACAGATCAGAAATGGCTTCCTCTTTCCTTATAGTTATACCCTGTATCTCTAGATGATTTTGAATGTTTCTGATGAGCTGAATCATGAAGTGTTCCTTAATGTGTTGAGGACATACTCCTCTTCCTTAAGCTGAACAAAGTATTTAAAAAGCCTCTATAGGATCAGCTGGAAGATGCATTGCCACATTGGCGGTTTTATGAGAAACTCGTGAAAGGTTTACTTATAAAAAATACAAGATTCTCACAGGACAAAGCTACAAACATGGTGATTTGTTTAAATATTCTTTATTGCTGCAGACGGAACAACCCAGCAGTATGTAAAGGAGTTTACCAATCTACAGTCAGTCATCAAATACACATTAATGCAGCAGTAATTCTAATCCACAGAGATCACATAAAGGAAAATACTGCACAATTTTTACATTTACTTTATGTACATTTTGCTGATAAAACTAACACACTATTACTTAAGCAAATGATCCTAGTACTGATTGCACCACTGGTTCATAGTTCTGCTTTAACATTGTGCTACTGGTTAGCCTACAGCATCACCTTCTGGACAAAAATGGGTTTTACAGCAGAAAAAAATGGTCACAAAAAAATTATTTAATTAAAAAAACATTAATCCGTTACAGTTAGTGATGTAACAAAACTGTAATGGCATGATCTGTGGTTTCATTTGTTTGGTTTGTTGGTGGTTTAGATCAGTGGAGGCTCCATCAGAAGAAGAAGCTTTCACAGTGCTGTAGGTCACTGCATCACCTTCATCATCATCATCATCATCATCATCATCATCATCATCATCATCATCATCATCATCATCATCATCATCATCATCATCATCATCATCATCATCATCATCATCATCATCATCATATTTACCCTGAACCTCAAAGATAAAGGACAACACATACATTTCACATATAGCACGTTGGAATAACGACAGTAAATCCATGCAACACAATGCTCATGAAACAACTTCACTATATCATGACTTTAACCAATCAGAAAGCTTATCTGGGCTGCACTGTTCTTTTTGCTGGTGTAGCTGATGAAGGTGTAGGAAACACCATCTTCAGGGTCAGCCTACACAGAGAGGACAGCATTATTTATATGATCACTTCATACATTCATCCCTTCTTTCTTTAAATCCCTTCATACTGAAAAGGAATCTAACTTTGTTACAACCAACGTTAATATCTAGGTCGTCTCCGATACCGAGCTCCGGTGCTGATGAGGCTCCGGAAAACGGCCGTCCAATCTTTTTAGTAAACCCCCCAGAATCTACACGCAAGATCGCCGTAATCTGCTTAGGGGGGCACTTACAGCGTGGCCTCTAACACCAGCTGCCCGTTCTGTCACTTATTTCAGGCCCTAAAGCGTCAGATGCCCGACCGCCAGGATAGCAAAACGGAGTGTGTAGTGTAGTAGGTGTTGGTGGGCTGGTAGAACCCCAGAGCAGTATCTAAACTGCCCCTGGAGGAGGAACCCTGTGTCGTTGGGAGACTCCCTGGTAATTAGGGAAGCTTCAGGACCCACAGCCCCTAACCCCCTCTTTTGATCCCCAGTTATGCCAATCAAAACAATGCAAGTGTAATATCCAACATAGCCATAGTCAAACTTTAATATCACAGCAGTGACATTACCACATCAGCAGAGCATATGTCATACAGCATCAATCAAAACCACATCAACCACAGTAACCAATGTGAAACTACAGTTTAACCTTAGCAGGGTTTCTATTCCCCTTTTCAATTTCAAATCCAAATGATCAACTAATGTCAGCCTTTTCCAAGGAAGGGTGTTCTTACCTCACTCTAAGACCAAGCAGATACCTTCAGAGACCACCAGAGAGACCAGGAATTCAGTCGAAATGTACAAAGTACAAACCGGTTTTATTATGTTTTTAACAAAAATAGAGGATTTTCAAGAATCCAAAAAATAACAAAAGAAAGATACAAAATGGTTTTACAAGGACACAAGGTCAAAGTACAAAAGCAACAGGTTCACACGTGAACCCCTAGAGCGCTCCTGTTTCTTCTTCTCCATCCCTTCTTATAGTCTCCTTCCTCCTCCCTCTCTTCATCATGGGTCATCCCCTTTTCTTTCTTTGAGGGAGAAGGAGGTCACATAGGTTCGACTTTTACTTAATGAACAATAAAAAATGTAAAATTAAAATAAAACAATTAAAGACTATAGTAATGAAATGTAATTTTAACAAGAGGGAATATGAACATTTTTCATGAAAGCAGAACACATTGTCAATGTCATGTTTAGAATCAAGTTTTTTTCTTTAAACATTTTAATTTCAAATATGCAAACTTTATACTTTAATTTATTAACAGAGACTTCATTTATCAACAGAGACAATAGGGACAGCTTGTCTCTAAGATTCACTGGCTCAGGAAGATGATTCAAATCTTTGCGTAGGCCGCCTGCATCCTGTGCTTCATTGTCTTAGTCAACCTTTGTAATCGTTCTCAAGGTGTCAAAAACCACAACGCCTTCCCAGAATTGTGGTTGGAACTTTTACGCTTTTATTGCACCTTCTAGAATGCATAGTGTGAATAGGTCAAGAGTTCAGGATGTTCTATCTAGTTTCACATGTCTGGTTTCACACGTCTGATAAGACACTATGGAAACATACATCCTTTCCAGCAAACCAAATTACAGCCAATTTAGTATTTGTATCAATGATAAGCTTAATAGAGGTAGGTGAGGTAAAGGTCAGGTATGTCACGGCCACTTAAACAGCAGAACTGTCAACAATACATTCATCCCCTTTTCCATAAATCCCTTCATACATTCATCCCTTCTGTCTCTACATCCCTTCATACATTCATCCCTTCTGTGTCTACATCCCTTCATACATTCATCCCTTCTCTCTCTCCACCCCTTCATCCATTCATCCCTTCTCTCTCTCCACCCCTTCATACATTCATCCCTTCTCTCTCTACATCCCTTCATACATTCATCCCTTCTGTCTCTACATCCCTTCATACATTCATCCCTTCTCTCTCTACATCCCTTCATACATTCATCCCTTCCTTCCTACATACCTTCGACTCTTCATCCTTCCCTCCCTAAATCCCTTCCTTTCCTACACCCCTCCCTATAATCCCTTTATCCTATCATCCCCCAATACATTCCTTCAACCCCCTTCAATTCTTTGAAACTTCTTCAATCCCTTCCTAAATTCCTTCACCCATTCATCCCTCCCTTCCTACATCAATGTATCCCTTCCTTACCTTCAACCCTGCCCCCTTAACTCTCTTCATCCCTCCCTCTCTCTCTACATCCCTCTTCTTGATAGAAGTTTAGTGTCCTCACCTTGAGTCCTCTTCTGCTGGACAATATGTCCCACCCCCTCCAGGACACCCTGTCCTCACTGTGCAGCTCCTTCAGTGACAGGCTATATCACCCCTTGCTGCTAAATACCAATCAACTATGTGCAATATGTGCTATATGTGCAATATATATATATATGCCGTTAATAACTGTGTAATTTATAACTGGCTGCTAATCCTTAGAACCGTTACAAGGTGTGTATTTTGCATTTTGTGTTTTGTAAATTGTGTAACTTGCTGCAGTTAAATACTATCATACTATGTGCAATATGTGCTATATGTGCAATATATACATTATATACATAAGCCATTAATAACTGTGTAATATATACCTGGCTGCTAAATCCTAAGAACTGTTACAGGATTTGTATTTTGGAAAGTATTTTTCTTTTACTTTTAATTTTTATATTATATTTTTATTATATCATAACTTAGTACTTTTTTCTTAACATAGGTAACATTAAGCTGTCTGTGGCTCTTTCCTGCTGTAACGATGCACATTTCCCCTCTGTGGGACTAATAAAGGTATTCTGAGTCCTCTTCAGTCTGATGACAGCCACAGTGATTATTGTGAGTGCTGCGTCTCTTACCTGCAGACTGAAGCAGCAGAATGAGAAATGAAGACATTTTAATCAGTTTGAACTCATCCATCGTGATTCTCCGTCTCTCTGCTTCCTCTATCTCTTGTTCTGATGAAATGTTTATGAAATAGTGTGTTAGCTGAGAAGTGATGCTTCTACTTCCTCTCATAAGTATGATGTAAACTTCTCAAAATGACTTTAGACTATTTCCAAAAATAGACTCAATTGTTTGTTTGTTTTTTATTTGCAGATTCTAATGTCAACAGATATAACAAAGAGAAAACTTACTTTCTACATTCAGGCTGAACATCCATTCAATCAAATGGACATCAAAACACAAAGCAAGGCTAAATGAAAGTGAATGAAAGTAATAATTCTGAACACAGAGATATTAAAATGAGCTCAAGCTGTCGTAGCTTCAAAAACAATCAGTACATCTTAAAATCAGCTCTGACCCTTCAGCATGAAGACGGTGGTCCAGTGGTTTATTAGATCAAGACTAAAATGAAATAATATGTAATTCAGAATGAGCGTATAATCTTCCACTCTGATAGATGTAGACGTTGTTGATCAGTGGAGTCTGATGGAGGCAGAAGTGTTGCTCAAACTCCATCAGGAGGTCTGATGTTTTCATAGTTCACTGTACCATCATCTACATCATAACGCACCTGAGGAAAACAACAACAACACTGAGTTGGTTACAAAGGAAGAAAACACAGTTCACAGTTTAATCAGCAGACCCTGAACGCACCATCAGTTACCGTCTGATCTGTTTTAATCTACTGACTTCTGCACAGTTTGGTTTGAAACTAGATTTCATCCTGCACATTATTCACAGCAACATACACATTGTTTTCCAATAGAACTAAACTATTAGCATTGCTAAAAGCCACTAGTGTGAAGGTGGGGAAATCCTCTGTGATGTAATTCAGGGGAATCAGTCCTTTAATCTGAACTCATCATGTTCAGTTGTTACTGACAGGTTCAAAGAGGTGTTGATTCAGATCTATGGTCTCTTTGGAGGCTGTACTTTGTGTCTGTGTTTATCAGTTCATAATGAAGAGAGAGTAAAAACACTTCAGTATTTTGATGTAAAAACTCACATTGATTTCATCCATCTGTGTTTGCTTCTCTGAGAAGAAAGAAGAAAAAGTTGACTTTACTTTCCACAATTCAAAAAAACGTTTAAGTTTCATCTGTGAATGTTCTCACCTTTAGTTCTTGTCCATATGCTGACCGCCACAACAATCATTATGAGAGCTGCTAAACCCACAGACACGAGGATGTGCCTCAAGAGACCTGGAAAGACAATATAATTGTTTTAAAGATATATATATTTTGTACATTTTTTTTTTTTTAAAGAAACAGAGATGTTTTGAAATGTATCTACATGTAATCACGTTGAATGCCAATCAGTGCAAAGATGTGATGTGATTTCTTAACAAAATGTATATAATTAAAAAAAAAAAAAAACAGATTAAAACAAACCAATGAATAGTCTTTGATTTAAGAGTAAGATTTTTAAGTAAGCAATATTCATATATAAATATATAAACCAAAGTTGCTTTTGGGACAAAAACTGCATTCAAAAAAACATAATCTGCAACTAGTTTGACAAAATATTCAAATAGATTCTCTCCAGAGATTTCAACTGCAGCTCAAAGTGGAGATGTGAAGCACCACAACAACATACTAAATATTTGAGGTACCATAAAATAGTTTTGTTTCAGATTGCTGATACTGTCTAGTTTTTACCTGAGTTGTTGATGGAGTGACTTGATGTAACTGTTGTGGTTGTTGTTGCTGCTTGTTCGTCCTCATCTGAACAAGATGAACACAACTCTTCAGAAGTCATATGTTTATCATATATTGTGACGTAATGTTTAAACATAATTAAATCCTTTTTATGTAATTTTTCACATCACTTTGAAGTGACTTTAAACAGTCTGATCAAAAATGTTCTCACCTGAGGACTGAGGCCTGAAGGTCTGCACGTTGTAAGCATTTCTTACTGCACAAGTAAAAAACGTAGACCTTGGTGTGTAACTAAAATGAGAAGTCAGAAATGTCACAGAAGCAGAGCAGTAGGACGCTGATGTTTTTATATCGTTGTTATCTTCATCCACATCTTGACCCTGAAGCAGCCACTTCACTTTGTGTCTACACCCTGCATGTCTCGACACAGAGCAGCGTAACGTCACCTCATCATTGTCCTGATGCTCAGTCACTGAAGATGGAGATATTGTGAGAGAAAGATAATAATTTACTTCACCACTGTAATAATAATAATTGTAATGTTTTAGTATTTTGCTCTACAGAGAAAGTTTGGAAACATCATGATGTAAATACTCACTGGTAACAACAGACAGATAAACATCAGAGTCTGAACCTTGTTGTTGATTTGCTTTGTTGTACTGTGTGCAGGTGTAATAACCAGCATCCTCCTCTGTGACCTTCTTTATACCCAGAGAACATTTCTCTGTAACTCTCAGTCTGTCTGATTTAGCATGGTTACCAATCTGCCCACCTCTAACCAGCATTACTGAGCTTATTGAATCACTGAAGAGCCAGGTAGTACCATCACATTCATCCTGATCCTGAATCACATTGTTACACGGCAGATTGGCTTCATCTCCAACTCTGACAGAGAGGTAGAGGACACGCTGTCCAATTGCAGCCCCTGAATAAACGAGAGATAAGTATAAAGAATAAATAAAAATAAAAATGTTCATTTAAGATACAACAAAAGTTTCCCTATGTGTCTAAAAGTTGCCTTCCCCTCGTTGGAAGACAAACACACCACTTCTCTGTCTTGGTTAAAAGGAGGTTAGGTAATAAAGTAACATTCATGATGAATACATCACCTTTTATAATGTTTTCTAAATATATACATGTTGTAGGAATCCTTACCTGTAAACTGAAGCAGCAGAATAAGAAGTGAAGACATTTTAATCTGTTTTAACTCGGCCATCGTGTCTCTTGTATTCGTGTAAGTCTCTAGACTGGCTGCCTCTTAAAGAGAAATGTTGAATGTACTTCCTTATATTAGAAATGTGTCGCTTCCTCAAAGTAGCTGCGTCTTCTTTTCTCCTCTACGTTTCTCGTTAATTTGCCTCTCTGCATCGACTCAGTCAAGATGAGCGCATGTCGCTTCCTGTGGGTTTACTGTAACATTCATATAAAAAACATAACCATATAAGCACATTAGATACCAGCAGACGAATGATACCAAATACATTTTGTGAAGTAATCAGGTTAAAAGTTACTTGTAATTCACTTCCAGATTAGAAATGACATCTCCTTCCTGTCCAGTGACAACCACATATCTCCTAATTGGTGATTCTTATTTTTTTTAAACTCATGAAAACTTGACTGTTTAGAGATAAAGTTCATGGTTGTCAAAGTACGGTGGCCGGCAGGTGCAAACGCTGAACAACGGCCAAAAACGCATACATAAGCAGGAAACACCTGCAAATAATGAAATGAAAAACAAAAAAACCCTGAAAACAAATACAACAAAAAAACGCTGCATTTACAGAAATGATGCAAACTAAATACAACACACAAACCCCGAAAACAAACGCAACAGAAAAACGCTGAAAATACAAAAACGATATGCAAAGTCATACAAACCCAAAAACTAAAACAAAACATACCGGAAGTGCTCCGCCTCCAGGCCTCTAGGGGGTGCGCTACGTGGAACAGATTGATGTCTGACCAGACATAGAGAGAACGAACGAGAGTGATGGAAAGAAAGTTGATTGAAGTGGACAAAGTCGATATATAAGAAGGTACGTTTATTTTAGTTTTGATACAAAGAGCGTCATATTTACGCAGCTAGCGTTAGCGTCCCTACAGTAACTACTACACCAGCTGAGGAGAGGAGAGCTTCACGTGAAGAGAAGATAAAGTGAGTGCAGGTAAATAACACGGGCCATAGTGAGTACCGCGGAAACATTTGAAAAGAGAGAGAGAGAGACTCTTCGCAGTTTGTTTATATATATGTATTTGTGTCTTTTCATGCTGCCATGTTTTGTCCTTTCTGTGGCCAACATCTGGGGACAGTTCAAGTGTTCTGTGGCTCCTGTGGCAAACATTTAAGGTTTTTGGTAGAAGTTGAACACAACAGTAAGTTCACTTTTTTTGTATTGTATCTGTTTCAAATGCAAGAAATAAGGATTCAACACACTACTCTGTTTAGAATACTAATTGGCAGATGCATACACTAGTTATCAGCATGAAGGACACACTTTTTCATTGTCTGTTTATGTGAAATATGTAGAAGCCATCATTAAATTGTAGACCAATGCATTAAATAAACAAAACAGCTTATATTATACATTAATAATTGTGTATTAGTTCTATCTTTATAGAGAAAATCATACATTTAGAATCAGATTTTGAGACAGTGAGCGGCTGGGAAAGTCACATCGCCATGGGGCACAAACAGTTGCTATGACATGATGTTTTCTTCGCATTCTCAGGCATTCCATAAGGAGGGTCAGGAACTCACGCTTGGGACCACCAGTGTCCACTCCATCCTCAGTTTGTCCCTCATCATCAGTGAACTTAACTGACGTCGAATGAGAGGGGTCGAATGAGGCACCTTTGAAGCCGCGGATTGCTCCATCCCATACGTTGGCTCTATTAATATTGAACCTGCTGCAAGATGTATTTGTTATTTTTGCAGAGAGTTCTGCAACAATGTCTGCCGCAGTCAGGTATTCTGTGCTGGGAAAGACAAAGTGATGTATTGTAATATTAAATGATGAAGCTAGTAATAACATTTACAGTATAGAATAGAACAATTAAGTGGTAATAGTAGCAATTAATACCTTTCCTCCATTTTGTCTTCTGGCTCAGACTGGCTATCAATAATGATAGGTGCATACACATTGGTGTAGTTGCTACAGTGAGAAGACAGTTGAATAATTACTTTCAAATACATAATATATGCATGACAGTTATATTTACAAAAGGATGTCGATCCTCTTCCTGTTTTTTTTTTAATACATTGGGTTCTAAACTGACAACAGCACGTTTGGCATACTCCAGCACAATCCTTGTAAACATTTGAAATGGATGCAAGAAACAATATCTGATCTTTGAAAAATATTTGTGGGTGTTTTTTGTATCGTCTTCACTAAGAGGTCAGATGTTGTGGGTGTCATTTGGAAATGTATAAAAGTATAATTGTTCTGCTTCCTGGCAATGTTACCCACTGTGATTGGAGGCTATACAAACAAACAAATGTACAAATAAAGATACACACCAAACTACTGTGTCACGATGCAACTGTCAACATCGTTTACCTATAGAAGTTGTTCTGACCCGGGGCAGATTGGACCTCTTCCTGGAATGGGGTTGGTGCTCCATCCTATTCTTACCCAGGAAATAAGTGCAGTTGATCTAATGACAGTGTCATTAGCACACAAAGGTATTTATTGATTTCATGTTCACAAATTCAAACCTACATGGTATAATTACATTTTGAATTAGTCTTATCCGATCAGACGCTTGTTGTGGGTGCCTGAGAGGTCTGATAAAGGTAAACAACAAATATATTCAAATTACTGTACTGTTAAAACATTCTGCTTCTTGTGGCACAAAATAATATGTTGACAATGTTTTATTTTAACCTTGCAAACTGTTGTTGATTCTTGGAGTACTCACTTTTGGAACATTTGGAATGTCCCACACCTGCATACACACAAATGACTGACTGAAATAAAAATAAATTCACTTTAATTAAGAATGAATGCCACAATAAATCCAAACTGACCAAGGTGTCAGAAAGAGGACTGTCTCCAGATAGCAAATTGACATGGACCACACTGTCCTCTTCACTTGAAGATGTTCCAGTGAAACCTAAGAAAAAAAAAAGTGTCATTATTGATACAAGTATAAAATTAAAAATAATTAAAGCTGCAAGCAGCGTTGAGCGGGTATTCGACGCTCCGCAGGCTGTTGTCCGCACGTCGAGGTGTGTAGGTGTCTCGAGGACTCGGCCGTTGGCAAACGTGGGAAGTTTCAGGCCAATCGGACAACGTATTTAGGAGTTACAGCAGTATCATAAACATTGTGTTTGACGGCGAGTGATCTATCACCATGGCAACGGCATTTGATGACACCCCATAATACGCTTAGATGTGTTGAGGGCTGCATCGTTATTAAACCTGTAAAGTTGTGGGCCGTTTGGAGCATGTTAACTGGAGTTATGAGAAAACCGTGTTTCACGGCGACCATTTTGTTACCAAAGCAACGACATTTGACGAAATCTAAAAACTGACACATAAATGTGTCGAGGGCTTGACGGTTAGCCATCATATGAAATCTGGTGCCGTTTGAACGATTTTCCATCGAGTTAGGACAACACCGTGTTTTTTGGCGAGGGATGTGTCGCCATGGCAACGGCAGATGATGACACCCCATAATGGACTTAGAGCTATTCAGGGCCGGACCATTAGCCATCATATGAAGTATGGTGCCGTTTGGACCATTTTCATAGGAGTAACAGCGACACCGTGTTTTATGGCGAGGGATCTGTCGCCATGGCAACGGCATATGATGACATCCCATAATTGGCGTAGAGCTGTTGAGGGCCAGACCATTAGCCATCATCTGACGTCTGGTGCCATTTGGACGATATTCCATTGAATTAAGACAACATCGTGTTTTATGGCGAGTGATTCGTTGCCATGGAAACGGCATACGGTGAGATCTCAGATTTCACGTAGAGCTGTTGAGGCATGGACCGGTGATATAAAAGTGAAGATTGGGGGACGATGGGACCGTGTCCATTGGAGTTACAGCGACACCGTGTTTTATGGCGAGGGATGCGTTGCCATGGTAACGCCATATTAAGTAACATCACATTTGACGTAGAGCTGTTCAGGGCCGCAGTGTTAACCATCATGTGAAGTTTGGCGGCGTTCTGAGTATGTCAGTTGGCGTTATGACATCATCGTGTTCCATGAAGAGGGATCGCCTAGCATCGAGCGAACGCGAACTTTGGCGCCAAAAATCACGGCTACGCCGTGCGAAAGAAAAAAACTTCCGCGATAACTTTGAATTGCCCATGTCTCGAGACGCTACGTGACGAATTTCGAGTCGTACGGATAAAGTCCCTGGGAGAAGATAGATTTCGTGCGAAGGACAAAAAACGCGATAAATCGCGTTTTTCCGACGCGAAATTCAAAATGGCCGGCTTCCTGTACGTTATTTTATACCCCTCCAAGAGGCTTTTTGGTTTGTCTCCGCACCCTAGATATGCGTAGCGAGTTTCGTTCGTTTACGTGAAAGTTAAAGTGGGGGGAGTTTACGTTAAAAACGGAAGTGGGCATGGCCTACGCAATTTTTGACGCAAAGTTCCGGAACCAATTACACATCTGAAGTTGCACCACTTCTGACGCGCGTGCAACATTTGGTGAGTTTTCACATATGTTGCGGGGGTCAAAGGTTTATCGGTCGCTGCGCGACCGATTTCAATAGGGTCTTCTAGGTCTCAGACCCTAATTATTCCCCTCCGTCTGTACCTATTATCAAATGTTGGTTTGGCACAATAAACCAACTCCTCTCTGCACCTATACTATATCTATATGATGTCAAGAGTTACATTTAGGTGCACAATGCAACAAGTCCTCCAACTCATACGACCAAATGGGCCGATTGTTCAGGCCCTTATTACGACCAAATATGTCGTTTGTTCAAGTGCTTAATACGTCCTATAATTACGTTTTCTAGTGCTCCCGTTGAATGCTCCAAATTGACCAATCCGCGGACTTCCTCACACACACACACTCAATCTTTTCTGAGCTGCAGCTCCGCCGATTTCTAATCCCTGAGACGGCGGGACGCGGCGAGGCTGTGAGTCGGTGTGTGAGCACACACACAAACTCCCAGCCAGGCTGCGTGTGTGTGTGTGTGTGTTCGGGCTGGATTTCGCTGTGTCTCGCTGTCTCGCAGACGGCCACTGGGCTCATAGGGAGGGGGGGGGGGCAGGAGCTCCAACAAGCCGTTTAGGACAGAGAGTGAATACACATACTATAGAGAGATGCTGTATGAGAAACCAATGCGATTTTGGAAAATTGCACAATATAAATCTATTTTAGTAGACCTCAACAATGGAATTATGATCAGTAGAAATGGCCATAACATGGTACCTTCAATCAAAGTTACTTTCCACAGTTTGCACGCATCCAGCTGAATAATAGGTCATTTTACATCATTAAATACTTTAATAACAATATAGGGAAAGCTAAATAAAACATACATGATCAAATTATTGCATATCAAACAATTACAGATGAAACTAAAGAACAGATTTCTTTGCATATAACATAATTACAGAATCAAAAATAACAATATAAAAATACATACGATAGCAAAAGATTTGCAAATCCATCAGTGAGCACAAAACGATTGTACAAGAAGTCTATCTGTCACATATTGAGGTCATTTATATATAAAGCAACCACCCAAACATGCTAAGTATAACTTCCCCTTTTTTCTTACATTGCACCACTAGTCAAACGGTACACCAAAATCAAGCTTTTTATAAGAATCCATCCTGAAAATGATCATAAAACCATTAACAGAGATTAGAAAAGGTGTGATGGCGTGATTGTGGTTAGGAGATGGTGTCGTAGAGGCTGTTGGGATCATTGGTGGAAGCTTTCACAGTCGAATAAGTCACTGCGTCACCTTCATCTGCATCGTTCTCAATCTTAACCTGGAAGGAAATAGCACAATATAAATGACTGCAGGACTCTAGAAGACAACAGTACGAAGAAACATCATTGATAGGCTACAGTAAAACAGACAACATGACACACACAGTGCACAATGTAATAAAGCACAACAAAAACAATGTGTTATGTTTCTTTACAGACAGCGTACCTCAGCTTTTTTGTTGGTATTCTTGGTGTAGCTGATGGAGGCGTAAGAAACTCCTTCTTCAGGATCAGCCTACACAGAAAGGACAAGATAATAAGTATTCAGTAAGATATTACAGCACATTTTTGTTGTTGATTTGACTTCCCACTTCTGGTTTTACACTCATTTGCTCTTCCTGTGCAGTGCAGCTACACCGTCTAAATTCCCTTATTCATCTTTATTGCACATTCTCACACCCATAAGGCCGAACAACCTGAAAGATAATTATGATTTGGAGAAAGAAAGACTTGTTTCAGTGAGTGAACTCACTGTGGCCGGGTTGGTCTCTGGAGAATTCACTGCAGGGTTTGAGGTCTGTCCCTGGACAACAAGCATTAAACACTTCAGTTAATTCACATCGTGGAATAATACAAACACCATCAGTTTAACATATTCAATATATCTTTGAACGTTTCAGAGGACTAACTCTGTTCATTTTCAGGTTCATATTAGTATGTAGTGTCTCTACTTTAAAGAGTACTCTCCTGCTGATGTTCAGGTGTATATCAGTATGTAGTGTCTCTACTTTAAAGAGTCCTCTCCTGCTGATGTTCAGGTATATATCAGTATGTAGTGTCTCTACTTTAAAGAGTCCTCTCCTGCTGATGTTCAGGTGTATATCAGTATGTAGTGTCTCTACTTTAAAGAGTCCTCTCCTGCTGATGTTCAGGTGTATATCAGTATGTAGTGTCTCTACTTTAAAGAGTACTCTCCTGCTGATGTTCAGGTGTATATCAGTATGTAGTGTCTCTACTTTAAAGAGTCCTCTCCTGCTGATGTTCAGGTGTATATCAGTATGTAGTGTCTCTACTTTAAAGAGTCCTCTCCTGCTGATGTTCAGGTGTATATCAGTATGTAGTGTCTCTACTTTAAAGAGTCCTCTCCTGCTGATGTTCAGGTGTATATCAGTATGTAGTGTCTCTACTTTAAAGAGTCCTCTCCTGCTGATGTTCAGGTATATATCAGTATGTAGTGTCTCTACTTTAAAGAGTCCTCTCCTGCTGATGTTCAGGTGTATATCAGTATGTAGTGTCTCTACTTTAAAGAGTCCTCTCCTGCTGATGTTCAGGTGTATATCAGTATGTAGTGTCTCTACTTTAAAGAGTCCTCTCCTGCTGATGTTCAGGTGTATATCAGTATGTAGTGTCTCTACATGTCTCCATGGTTTAATGTTCAAAAAGCTCTTTATTTGTCTCATACTGCCTGTGCTGCAGCACCTCTTTTCACCCTCTGTCTGAAACCAGAGCCCAGTCTGCTCTGATTGGTTAGCTGTTAGCTGGTCGGCTCTGTTGTGATTGGTCAACCGCTTAGAGATGTCCCGCCCCTTAGCCTATCACGTAAAATGTATTCGAGCGCTGGCCAATAGTAGCGCATGTGTTATATAGTGAGGTGAGGTGTGTGGGCAAAAAACTCCCTCTGGAGGGAGTTTTTTTTTTCCCTCACGGAACACAGGGATTTTAGCCTTTGCAGACCATTTACATGCACTAAATCCTATATACCACACTACAGGAAAAGATGATTATGATGTCCTGTATTCATTTATGAGGGTTTAATGTAAGGGGCTCATGTTAAATAAGCAAATCCCAAACATTAGTTTACGGCCCTTTTTGCTTTCCCTCCTAATCACTTCCTTTGCCTTAGCGAATGCAATCCCTTTGTTTAATGACAGCACAGTCACTAATGGTTATGAAACACTTGCTTTTTTTCAACTTTAAATAGAAAAAGATATTTAAGAACTCACAACACTGTCACTTTTCCGTGCTTCTTTCCCTGAAAAGACAAACAAAAGGGGGTTGACTTTAATTTCCACATTCTACATTTGGTTTTATGAAATAAATGATTGTTTACAAAAAGTGTCATATATGTTTTCTCACCTTTCATTTTCCTCCATGTGATGAAAGCCACAATGGTTGTTAGAAGTGCTACGAGAAGCAAAGCCACAACTATGTACAACCACCAATCTGAAACTATAATAAATGGGCAACATTTGAGATGAGGTTAATAGCGGAGATACTTACATTACATGTAGATGTTAAAAGATGTATTTGTTACTTTATACCAAATCAAAGTTACTTTTGGGACAAAAACTGCGTCCCAAAAACTTGTAATCTGCAACTAGTTTCACAAAATAAACCAAAATCACTTATTTAAAGAACCAAATACTAATAATTCTCTCCAGATATTTCCACCGCAGCTCAAAGAGGAGATGTGAAGCGCCACAAAAACATACGAAATATTTGAGGTACCATACAGTAGTTTTGTTTAAGATTGCTGAAACTGTCTAGTTTTTACCTGGGTTAGGGTTGTAACCTGATGTAATTGTTGTTGTTGTTGTTGTTGGTGTTGCTGCTTGTTGGTCCTCATCTGAACAAGATGAACACAACTCTTCAGAAGTAATATGTTTACCATATATTGTGACGTAATGTTTAAACTTAATTCAATCAGATAAACACCCTTTTTATGTAATTTTTCGCGTAACTTTGAAGTGACTTTAAACAGGCTGATCAAAAATGTTCTCACCTGAGGACTGAGGCCTGAAGGTCTGCACGTTGTAAGCATCTGTTACTGCACAAGTAAAAAACGTAGACCTTGGTGTGTAACTAAAATGAGAAGTCAGAAATGTCACAGAAGCAGAGCAGTTAGACGCTGATGTCCTTATATCGTTGTTATCTTCATCCACATCTCGACCCTGAAGCAGCCACTTCACTTTGTGTCTACACCCTCCATATCTCGACACAGAGCAGCGTAACGTCACCTCATCATTGTCCTGATGCTCAGTCACTGAAGATGGAGATATTGTGAGAGAAAGATAATAATTAACTTCACCACTGTAATAATAATAATTGTAATGTTTTAGTATTTTGCTCTACAGAGAAAGTTTGGAAACATCATAATGTAAATACTCACTGGTAACAACAGACAGATAAACATCAGAGTCTGAACCTTGTTGTTGATTTGCTTTGTTGTACTGTCTGTAGGTGTATTGACCAGCATCCTCCTCTGTGACCTTCTTTACAACCAGAGAACAATTCTCTGTAACTCTCAGTCTGTCTGATTTAGCATGGTTATCAATCTGCCCATTTTCAACCAGAATTACTGAGCTTCTTGAATCAGTGAAGAGCCAGGTAGTACTGTTACATTCATCCTGATCATTGGTCACATTGTTACACGGCAGATTGGCTTCATCTCCAACTCTGACAGAGAGGTAGAGGTATCGCTGTCCAATTGCAGTCCCTGAATAAACAAGAGGTAATTATAAAGAATACAGAGAAATAAAAATGTTCATTTAAGATACAACTAAAGTTTCCCGATGTGTCTAAAAGTTGCCTTCCCCTCGTTGGAAGACAAACAGACCACTTCTCTGTCTTGGTTAAAAGGAGGTTAGGTAATAAAGTAACATAAGTGATGACTAAATTACCTTTTTGTTTCTAAATATATACATGTTGTAGGAATCCTTACCTGTAAACTGAAGCAGCAGAATAAGAAGTGAAGACATTTTAATCCGTTTTAACTCGTCCATCGTGTCTCTTGTATTCGTGTTAGGCTCTAGAGTGGCTGCCTCTTAAAGAGAAATGTTGAATGTACTTCCTAATATTAAAAATGTGTCACTTCCTCAAAGTAGCTGCGTCTTCTTTTTTCTTATATATACATTTCTCGTTAATTTGCCTCTCAGCATCGACTCAGTCAAGATGAGCACATGTCGCTTCCTGTGGGTTTACTGTAACATTCATATAAAAAACACAACCCACTATAACCCAATATAAGCACATTAGATACCAGCGGACGAATGATACCAAATACATTTTGTGAAGTAATCAGGTTAAAAGTTAATAGTAATTCACTTCCAGATTACAAATTAATCCACGATTAATATTCAGTCTGGACGCGTAGTGTGTCTCTTTTGCGTCACTTTGCCACCTCTCTGCTCGAGTGCAGCTGCCGCGCGAGGCTGCCTGTGAGCTATGAGACGGCGGAGGGGCTCAGCACCCGCTGCTCGTTGAGGAAAGTAACTGCGTAACAATTACATGCTATCACGTCAGATTCTCCAAACACCAGAAAGTCTCCAATAACACCAGAAAATGTAGCTGAATTTGTCTCTAGTCGCTTTTCACAAAAGAAAGTAGCGGGAGGGTTTGGAAAGTCGCCCGATTTAGCGAGAAAGTCCCCAAGTTGGCAACACTGTGTAGATTAAATATCCAACAATCACAAAAAGGCGGAAAAAACAAAGCCAGGAAGTGAAGTCAGAGATGACACAAGGACAGTGTTTTTACAAAATAAAACAGGAAGTACAAAGAGCAAGATCACGATAAAGACACTGTTAGTAGGAACCACAGAACACAGCGTAGAATCAAGATTAACATTTATTTATTTGCAGATTATATTGTTGTATCAGGAATAACAAAGAGAAAACTTACTTTCTACATTAAGGCTGAAAACCCATTCAATCACATGGACATCAAAACGCATGTTTTAACAGCTAAGCTAAATGAAAGTGGATTAAAATAATGATTTTATACACAGAGATATTCAAATGAGCTCAAGCTGCTTTAGCTCTAATAGCAATCAGTACATCTTAAAAAAGCTCTGAGACTTTCAGCTGGAAGATAATATAAGCGTCTCTCTGCTTCCTCTATCTGTTGTTCTGATGAAATGTTTCCAAAATAGTGTGTTAGCTGAGAAGTGATGCTTCTACTTCCTCTCATAAGTATGATGTCAACTTCTCAAAGTGACTTTAGACTATTTCCAAAAATAGTCAAACTTTTTTTTTTATTTGCAGATTCTAATGTCGACAGATATAACAAAGAGAAAACTTACTTTCTACATTAAGGCTGAAAATCCATTCAATCAAATGGACATCAAAACACAAAGCAAGGCTAAATTAAAGTAATAACTCTGAACACAGAGATATTAAAATGAGCTCAAGCTGTTGTTCAAAAACAATCAGGACATCTTGAAATCAGCTCTGAGACTTTCAGCATGAAGACAATATAAGGACGGAAACAAGAGTTAAAAGCTCTTTACAGTGACATCCAGTGGTTTATTAGATCAAGACTAAAATGAAATAATATGTAATTCAGAATGATTGTAAAATCTTCCATTCCTGATGTGAAACACGATGATAGATGTAGACGTTGTTGATCAGTGGAGTCTGATGGAGGCAGAAGTGTTGCTCAAACTCCATCAGGAGGTCTGATGTTTTCATAGTTCACTGTACCATCATCTACATCATAACGCACCTGAGGAAAACAACAACAACACTGAGTTGGTTACAAAGGAAGAAAACACAGTTTACAGTTTAATCAGCAGACCCTGAACGCACCATCAGTTACCGTCTGATCTGATTGAATCTACTGACTTCTGGACAGTTTGCTTTGAAACTAGATTTAATCCTGCACATTATTCACAGTAACATACACATTGTTTTCCAATACAACTAAACTATTAGCATTGCTAAAAGCCACTAGTGTGAAGGTGGGGAAATCCTCTGTGATGTAATTCAGGGGAATCAGTCCTTTAATCTGAACTCATCATGTTCAGTTGTTACTGACAGGTTCAAAGAGCTGTTGATTCAGATCTATGGTCTCTTTGGAGGCTGTACTTTGTGTCTGTGTTTATCAGTTTATAATGAAGAGAGAGTCAAAACAGTTCAGTATTTTGATGTAAAACTCACATTGATTTCATCCATCTGTGTTTGCTTCTCTGAGAAGAAAGAAGAAAAAGTTGACTTTACTTTCCACAATTCCAAAAAACGTTTAAGTTTCATCTGTGAATGTTCTCACCTTTAGATCTTGTCCATATGTTGACCACCACAACAATCATTATGAGAGCTGCTAAACCCACAGACACGAGGATGTGCCTCAAGAGACCTGGAAAGACAATATAATTGTTTTAAAGATATATATATTGAGATGTTTTGAAATGTATCTACATTTTTATTTTTTTATTTATTTATTTGACAGGGACAGTGCACATTGATTGACATTTCTGTTAATGCGCCAGAGTTAGCCAACAGGCTATTTTTCATCTGCAGTCCCTGGACAGATGTTGAAAGTCATCCTAAAAAAAAAATTCACTTCAAATGACAGGTAAATACAATCAGTAAAACAACATTCAACATAGATGCTTATATTATGATAAAAGCATATATAAAAACATAAAAACTAAACTAAAATACATATTCACAAAGCAGACAGATAGTAACAGGTCAAGGCACATGTACAAACAGAGCGTTGTAAAGTACAGATTGTGTCAGTGTTGACGGAGCTGATTTTACACTAACCATGTTTTTTTTTTGTTTTTTTTTAACAACTTTATTTTTCAGTTTTTCACAAATACAGTATGTCCAATATTTATGACAAAAAGTTGCAAACAATGCTTTCCCAGGCTTCCTCTGAAATAGAATCACCAATATCTCCTTCCCATGCTTTTTTAATTTTGTCCCATGTGGGAGGGCAGTTATTCAGAATCAATGTATATATTTTGGACACAGCCCCTTTATTAAATGGATTCACATTAAGAACCGAGTGAGCTAGATCTTTAGAGGGTGGACATGGATATCCTGGAAAATGTTTTGACGCAAAAGACCGAGCCTGGAGATATCTAAAAAAGTGAGATTTTGGTATGTTGTGATCCCTACACAAGTGTGTAAAGGATGCAAAACTGTCGTCACTAAAAAGATCTTGAAAAAAGACTAAGCCACTTCTATGCCAAACAGCAAATGCCATGTCCAAACGGGATGGTGTAAAAAGGTGATTATTATTATTGGACATTATTGGCGAGAAACTGCATATGCTTTTCAGATTCATATGTTTCCTAAATTGACCCCAGATCTTAATTGAGTTTTGGACCACTAAGTTTGAGTTAAACTCACTTACTTTAACATTCAATGGAAGGGGGGCAGTTAAAAATGAGATTGGGGAAATTGGGAGTGTGGACTCCAACTCCATTGTAGCCCATATTGGGCCCTCCTTGTCTGCAATGTGGTAATCCAGTATGTGAGTTTAGCAATGTTAGCTGCCCAGTAATAAAATAGGAAATTAGGTAGACCCAAACCACCTTCAGATTTGACCCTCTCCAGATTTGCCTTCTTTGTGCGTGCAGGCTTCTTATTCCATATAAACGCAGAGATAAGGCTGTCTAGTTGGGCAAAAAAGGATTTTGGGATGAAAAGCGGAATCATCTGAAACAGGTACAAATATCTGGGCAATATTGTCATTTTCACAGCGTTTATCCGCCCTGCTAGTGTGACAGGCAGCTTTGACCACCTATCTAGATCATTCTTGGTGCGTTCCAAGATAGATTTGTAATTCTACTTAAAAACAGTCTTAACCGAGCCTGCCATCTCAATACCCAAGTAAGTACATTTTTCATTTTCAATCCTAAAGGGCAGATGACCATAATCCTCCAGCCTTGCCAAGTCATTGAGAGGAAACAGTAAAGATTTTGACAAATTAATTTTGTAACCTGAAATGCTCCCAAATGTCTTCAGCAAGAAGAGAACATATGGCATGCTTTCTATTGGGTCTGATACTTGCAGAAGTAGGTCATCCGCATATAGAGATGTTTTATGCACTGTGCTGCCCCTGGAAACGCCCTTAATCCTATTGTCCGTTCTGATAGCAATTGCTAAGGGTTCAATTGCAATGTCGAATAAATAGGGTGACAGGCAGCATCCATGCCTTGTTCCTCTGTAGAGCATAAAATACTCAGAAATAAGACTGTTTGTTTTAACAGCGGCTGTAGGGGCTGAATATATTGTCTTAATCCATTTACAAAAAACAGGTCCCAGTCCAAATGTTTCCAAGGCAGCAAAAAGATAGTTCCACTCGATGCTATCAAACGCCTTTTCAGCATCAAGGCTCAGGATAATTTCAGGCCGCACTGTGGATTTAGGGGACAATAATAAATTAAATAACCGCCGTACATTAAAAAATGAATGTCGCCCAGAGATGAAACCTGTTTGGTCTTTATCAATAATGGTAGGAATAAAGGCTTCTAATCGCTGCGCTAGGACTTTAGTTAATATTTTATAATCACAGCAAAGAAGGCTGATTGGTCTATAGGAACTACACTGTGAGGGATCCTTGTCTTTTTTCAATATCACTGAAATTGTCGCTTGAGAGAGTGTTGGTGGCAATTTACCATTAACCAGTGATTCTTCATATACCGATTTTAAAACCGGCACAAGTTTTGAGGAGTATTCCTTATAAAACTCGATGGGAAACCCATCCGGGCCTGGTGCCTTCCCTGTACTAGACAGTTTGATTGCGTTTTCTATTTCTCCAACCGTTAATGGCTGTTCCAAGGAGCACTGGGAGTCTGGTGAAAGTTTTGGGATATGTAAGGAATCCAGAAACGACTGAATTCCAGACGAGTTAACATCTACCTCTGATTGATATAAAGTAGAATAGTATTTCTTAAACTGGTCATTAATTATTTGGGGATTATGCGAAGCCGAATCGGCGCCTGTATTGATCCTTGGGATCGTCTGTCCAGCCGCCTGCTGCTTAAGCTGAAGTGCAAGGAGTCTTCCTGCTCTGTCCCCATGTTCATAGTAAACCTGTTTAGTTTTTTAAATAT